TTGCCTCAGAATCATTTTGGCAGGCTCTCTTCCCGCTCTGGGGAGCAGGCACGTACTGTGCATGCCTGGAGCGGGTGAGAGAGTTGATTCCCATTCAGTTCCTTTTTTACTGCCCTTGCGTTCACACCTCCTTTGTCTCGCTCTTCGCCTGCCTTAGCTACTTTTTTTCCTGAACTTCTCTTTCTTCTACTTTCTTCTTCAGATCTTCATTCTCCACTATTTTCATCTATATATCTAATAGCCAAGTGGCCCCCTGAGTGCGGATCGCTAAATCAGCGCTCCGGGGCCACCTGGGGGGCAGGGGGAGGTTTGTGCACTCTTGGGGCAGTCCCCAGGGGTGCACAAAAATCACAAAACTAAAAAAAATATCGGGGGGATGTTTAAATCCCCCCAAAAATCACAGAGCGTCCCCCTCCCCTTTTCATAGTTGGGAAGGTATGTGTATTGGCCGTACATTGTTTTTTAAAGTCTGTTGCCGCTGCCCGGCAAAGCTTCCCTCTAACAGCGGGCATGATTTGTGCATTCTCTGCCTCAGAGAACCTAACAGCGTAGAGAGCTGCCCTCATTGTGCCAAATTCACAAAACAAGCCCAATGAAATCGAACGGCTCGTCTAAAGGAAGTACTTTTGGATGCTGCACTTGGTCCTACCATGTCTTCTGCAGCTTCTCATGCTTCTTCTGCCCCACAGCAATCATCGGGTATGGGAACCTCGCAAAAGGCCGCAAAAATTGCATAAGTCTAAGAAGCCTGAAGGTACTGAGCCTTCGATACTGAAAGTAAAACCAACTTTAAGCTCAGCGCCTAAACTCGATCCGGTTGTCATCTCAGGCTTATCTACCTGTGATGGGTCCTTCAACATCGCCCCCCCCGCAAGTCCACAGATGGGCCTCCAATCCTTACTCCTGTGAGGTCTACCCAGACTGATCATGTAACACCAGGGCAGTGGAAGACTTCCTCACCTCTGAAGGTACAGGGATCCACCTTAGTAGATTCCCAACCATCTATCCACATTTTGGATGACAGGGAGGACTTCCTGCACAGTCGATCTCCTACCCCTCGATCACGATACGATCATGGGGACATTAAATACTACCGCTCCAAGTCTCGCTCTTGCTCTTGATCCTATAGAGAGTCCTGGTCCCCGGAACATGGACATCATCGTTACTACCATCACTATTCCTACTCTTGATCACCATTGCCTCGCCGTGGTCATTACCCTCAGAGAAGGGATTATTCCCCCCGCTGGGAACGCCCATTGAGATCCCACAGTTGGCATTCGGCCTCATACTTTTCTGAGCATTCTCCATACCAGGAGTGAAAAACTCATGAGGCTACAATACCTACATGCCTGGTAGACCACTCCCCGTCACATACTGGCCGGTCAGACTCTTGCAACGCCTTTGGAGCTCTCATGTTGCACTCTGCAGTCGCGTTCACCATCCTCTGAGTCGATGTCTGATCAATCTATGGTGGCAGATGGTGCTCCCGATCTGGCTATGGATGGGGATGAGATAGGTCATTCCAGCTCCTTGTCTCCTACCGAAGGACCCAAAGCATATCTGGAACTTATTACGAGAATGGTGACCTACCTCCTTCTGCTATCCTGCCTCTTCTTCCCATGCACCTCTCGGTACTCAAGAAATCCTGCGATTGCCCAGGATCAGTGTCTCCATTATCTAAGAGGTATGAGGTACTCTATAAGATTCAAGAGTCTTCAGGTAAATTTCTATTCAATCCCCTAACTCAATGATCATCCACTTTTCTTCAAAATCTAAGCAGCTTCACCAGGCTGTTCCACCTGACAGAGAAGGTTGGAAGGTGGACGCTCTTGCTAAGAAGATCTATACGGCAGCTTCTATGAACAACTGGATTGATACCTATCTGTCCTACCTGGTGGCCTACACTTTTAATGTGGCCTCGGCTGTTCATCCGATACTGGACTCAGTACTTGACAATTTCCATCCCCTTTCGGGAGCTCTGTCTGAAATTTATGCCATTTCGAAACAGCAAATAAACTCTGTGTGCCATGCTATTACTTGGTCTTTCAAAACTCTGGCGTCCTCCATAGTCTTGCATCGTCACGCTTGGCTTCGATTGACTTCCCTGCAGCCTCATGTAAAGGCTCTTCCGTTAAGGTGCATCTAGCAGCTATTTTGGCTCAACATTCTCTAATAGAAGGCTCCTCTGTTTTTTCTCACTGACTAAATCCTTCTTGAAAGGTCTCTTGCACCTATGTCCACCCAGAAAGCCAGTGGTCCCTTTGTGATCACTATCTTTGGTCCTTTCCCAGTTGATGGGATACCCATTTGAACCATTGGCTTCCACCGATCGCTGTCTACTTTCTTGGAAAACAGCCTTTCTTGTTAGCCATCACCACAGTGTGCCATGTTGGAGAGCTGGCTGCTTTTTGAGCAGATGCTTCTTACACAGTCTTCCATAGAGATAAAGTGGTCCTCTGTCTGGACCCAGCTTTCCTCCCAAAGGTTGTCTCTGCCTTTCACCTTTCCAAATCCTCTATACTCCCTGCATTTTTCCAGAACCCTTCGGAACCCTTCTTCGGAAGCCTTTCCCCATATGTTCCCCCAAGAGCACTACGGTCAGGGGTGCAACACCTTTTGGTTGTTCCAGGCCCCAAGGACATCAAGTTGGCTGCAACCAGGGCCAGGGCTTTCTTGGCGGCGGCTCCTGTCTGGTGGAATGAGCTCCCAGGGGAGATCCAGGCCCTGCGGGACCTTGCACAGTTCTGCAGGGCCTGCAAGATGCAGCTCTTCCACCAGGCTTTTGCATAGGAGCCACCACCACCACTGGACCACCACCAAGCTGCCATCTCCGATGGTGGGTTCGATCTGGATGTGAGCTGGCCCTGGGAAGATGACCAGATGACCTGAAGAACTGGTCATGAAAGGAAGATAGTAATAGATTCCTGAACTTATGCTGGTGGGTTAGGCCAGTCAACGGAACCACATCTTGGACCGATAAGAACTAATATCAAGAGCACTGGCACTTTGGTGGGAGGGATTGTTTTATTCTGTTTTTAGCCGTTCAATTATGGCATATGCCTCTTTTGTTAGCCGCCCTGAGCCCGTTTGGGGAGGGCGGGATATAAATCTAATAAATAAATAAATAAATAAATAATATGACTCCCAGAAGCCGTTACACTCACTAGATGTGCACAGGGCTCTCTCTTTTTATCTCCATCATACTAAGCCCTTCTGAAAATCAGACCGACTTTTTATTGCCTATGGCGCCCCTCGCAAGGGGCATCCTATTTCTTTGCAGAGGCTATCAAAGTGGGTCACATCGACCATCACACTTTGTTATGAGCTTGCAAAGCAACCTATACCTACCTGTGTTACTGCTCCCTCCACCAGGGCAATGTCAACGTCGACAGCCTTCCTTGCTGGTATCCTGCTAGAGGTCATCTGTGCAGCTGCCACATGGTCATCGCCATCGACCTTTGTATCCCATTATGCACTCAACGTTCAGGCTTGGCGAGACACTGCTTTTGGTCAGGTGGTGCTTCAATCGCTCTTCGTCTAACTCTCCTCCCTTATCCGGTAGGACCTGTACATTGAGATTATCATTACATATTCTTACCTGTTTTGGGTTTCTTTCAACTGCCAGCTCCCTCCTTCATCTGGTTCAACTTGTCAGTCACCCATTTGTGGGATTGCACAGAGATCACGACAAAGATAAACAGGTTGCTTACCTGTAACTGATGATCTTTGAGTGGTCCTCTGTGCAGTACCACAATCCCACTCATCCTTCCATACTGCTGGCGTCTCTCAATCACTTACCTTATTTAGTCAAGACTTACTGGTATCGGTCGAAGGAACTGAGTGGGAGGCGGCTCTCTCACCCGCTCCAGGCATGCACAGTGCATGCCTGCTCCCCAGAGCAGGAAGAGAGCCTGCCAAAAGGATTCTGAGGCAAGCTCTGGAACTTTCCCTGATCAGGTCGTGCGCAGGCGCCCATCCCATGTGTGGTACTGCACAAAGGGCCACTCAAAGATCATCAGTTACAGGTAAGCAACCTGTTTATTTTTCTTATCGCCCCCCCAAATCTATTAAGAAACTATTTGTATGGTGGCAACTCAATGCAGAGAACATACTGTACGCATTTTCAAAATTTTATTTAGGTATTTTTATCCTGCTTTCTTTCCCCAATGGAGCTGAAAGCAAAACTATGAGAACAGAACTTAAACCAATAAAATAAATACAAAAACTACATCCTGAGTTGGTCCTAGATCCACTGGGCCAGCTCACTCAATGCCATAGGCTATGAGCCAAGGGCTAAGAACCAAGGGCCATGCAGTGTTCCCTCTGAGATGAGTTAGTGTGATCACAGATTTTGGGGCTCCAGAGCAAACTAATCTATGCAGTAGCCAAATTGCTCACTCACAATTTTAATGCCAGTAGCTCACAAAATAGAATTTTTGCTCACAAGACTCCACAGCTTAGAGGGAGCATTGGTATGAGCCCTTTGGCTCTTGCCCTTCAGTTCACTTTAAAAGACTTATGTCTCTGGCCATACCCAGGCTAAAATACCTGCAGGCAGGAAGGCAAACAGAAGCTCAGCCTAGATGTTATTCAACCAAAAATTCCTCTCCCTTGCTACATGCAATGTGGATTCCCAAATCATGGGGAGAATTTTCACACTAGCCAGGACCTTTGGTGCCAGCATGAGGAGACTGTCTGTGATCCAGAGGACCTGCTTGCCTTACACCCCTAAATTGCCATCATGTGAAAGTGTTTCCTGACAACTTCCCTGTGGCTGAATTTGTAACATAAACTGGGTCTTGACTTTTTTCCTTTGCACCCTGGTGGTTTTCTTAGAGCTGCTTTGGAGACTTAGGTTCTCAGGCTATACATTAACCTTTATTTTTAGTACTGAAATGTATTGCCTTGTAAACAAGCTTTATGATAGTAAGATCAAGTTAACAACACTATAAACCTTTTTATAGTTTGATAGCGACATGCATGTTTATTTTGCTCAATAGGAATATTATATCAAAGACTGGTCTCTGCAGAACAGAGTCTCAAGAATGACGCATTCCCTTATCAGAAAAAGTAAGTACTGGGTTTCCTACTTGACTCTAAAATGCCGGTTTCATTCTGCACTAAAACATGCCTGCTTGCTACATCTTGAAATTAGCATTTAATTTCATTGGGCAGTGAGTTCAGAAATCACGCAAAATGAAGGTTAGAGCAAGAACAAAACTCTATCAAAGTAGGTGAGTGGTCAGCATACATATAGACATTTATTTTCAATGTGTATATGTAATAAAGGATTTGCCAGGCTTCAAGCCTTTAAATATCTTGCTTCAAGAGATAGCCAAATTCTATGGATGGGCACGAACCTAAAAAAGATGGTTTGGGGGCAGGCCCTGAACCAATACCCGAACCGAAGGGGCCCCACCTAAACTGAACCAGTCCGGCAAGTTCGGTTCTGCAGTGGGGGAGGGGTTCTGCAGCAGGGAGGGGACTTCCTTTCTTCTGGCTGTGGCTCACTGTAGCTGGAAGAAAGGGGGTGGGGATCATCCAGAAAGGGGCTTCATTTAACCCTTCAGTTTTGCTCCCCCTTTCAAAGGGGCGGGGAGCAAAACCAAAGGGTTAAATGGCTGGGTGATTCCTTAATACTAGTGTAGCACCCTGCTGCATCTTCAAATACTAGTGCGGACATCTGGGAATCCTTGGCCAAACAGTTTCCCGGGTGTGTGTACACAGGAGTTTAAAAATGGGTGTTCAAATGTGTGTTATATGCACATGCTATGTATCTAGTGTGGAGAACAGTGGAGTGACACCTGTGCAGTTGAATATGTTTGTTATGATTACTGTGAGTCAACAAGAGTTCTGTTGTACAGCCAGTTTATTTGTCTAGATTTGGGCCCTTTAGCTCCAGGACTGAGTTCTTGCTGGGATATTGCAAGTTGTTTTCCTGATATCATGAAAGAATTAACATGTTGTTGTGTATGCTAATTTCCTAGTTAGATTGCTTATGGCCAATAGAGTAGTCTGCATGTATCTCCTCCCAGAGCGTAGTTGATAATATGCATATTGGAATTGTCTATTGGCTAATCAATAGATTTGAGGATGTCCTGGGGTGAAGGCTAGGGTTGCCAAACCTGTTTATTCCTGCGGCGGGGGGGCTCCCGGATGGTGTACCGGTTGTGAGCGTGCGCACAAAGCACGCGCGCGCTGTGTGCACGTCTCCTGGATGTGACGTCGTGACGCCGGGCACACTGGGGGCGGGGCCACAGCCATTTGAGGGGGAAACTCTATGTTTTCCCCTCAAATGGCTGTGGCCCTGCCCCCAGTGTGCCCGGCATCATCACGTCACATCCGGGTGACGTGCACACCGGGGTGGGGTTTCCCCCGGGGCCCGATTCCGCGGCGTCGGAAATTGGGCCTCCAAAGCGGGGGGAAATCTGCCCCCCGGGGGGATTTGGCAGCCCTAGTGAAGGCTTAGAAAAGTTTTACTGCCTTTGTTCTAACTCTTGCCTGGGGTACAGAGTCAAGGTTTAGCCTTTACAGAGACAGGATGTAGATTAGAGAGCTAGACAGGATGTTTCTTGTTTTGAACTCCCTTTCCCCCTAAGTAATTAGTAAACTTTGCCTTTTAAAATTAATACACATGTGTGCCACACATTTCTTTTACTCTGCTACATTATATACCCAACATTTCTGCCCAGCAATGTTAGTGGATCTGGAAACCAACTTTTACTAAATCTGAGGGTATGAAAAAGAATAATCATGAAGTGATATTACCAGAGAGAAAAAAATTCAACATATGACCCAAGACAGCGGTCCCTATTGGCCTCTTCAGGAACTCTAAGCCTTGTGGTGCAATGGATTCCTGAACATGGCAATGTCTAACTGGGAGCATGAAATGAAGTGTCTCCAGTTTTTTTTTTTTTCCCATTTCCAGTTTGAGTTCCATATCTTTAATCCATGCAAACTCCTGGTTTCACCTTCTAAATTCTTCTCTGTTACTAACTTCTGCTTGTGTCATAAATGTTAACCATTATTTTCTCCAGGGTTTTCATGTTTGCAGACCCAGATCTGATCTCTGAGGCTGTGTGCAGGGCAATTGCTACTGAGATCAAGGCTGCTCGCACATCCCAATCCACCAGATCCTGCATGATCTATGTGATAGAATATGCTCTTCAAGAAGGGCTGAAAGAACACTGTGATTTTAGGATATTGCAAGCAATTCTTCAGGTATGGGAAAGAGAACAGGAGCTATTGTGAGGCTGATGTTTGGTCATGGTAAATGACTTCATTGAAAATTAATGTATGTACTTAAGAGAGAATTCCATATTCTCAACAAATGGGTTCCAAGAGAGAAACAGAGCCATTCTGAGGCATTTGTCTCCTGCTGGAGGGATTGGTTGCTCTGAGCCCCATTACACAATCATTCTATCACCAGCTAGGCCTCATTCTCTGGCAGTCTAAATGTGGCTCCAGAAAAGCATCTGATCAGTCAAAAAAGTTTGAACCATCAAGCACTTGTCAAGTATTTTTTAAGCAGTAACTTTATCTGTTTATTTATACACTTTTCTATAACACTCAAAGCAGTTTTCAACTAGAATGATTGTTTAAAACAGTCCCCAACTAAAACTGCATCCTCAACAAGAGTAAAATACAGTCACAGCTAAAACAGCAACATCACCAGAAAATTAATATCATGTAAACACAAGATCATCATAATAGAATAAAGTGTTATCACAGTTCATCCAAAAGCTGCACAGCTGTGTTTTTGGGTTTTTTTAATAAAATAAAATAAAATTATACTTTTTGCAAAAAAAAGTGGGAAGGGTGTAACAGCCTTCACTTTACTGGGCAGCATGTTCCATAAGGGTGGGGTCACCACTCCAAAAGCCCTTGTTCAAGCTGCCACAGATCAAACCATGCTAATTGCAGGGACAAAATAACAACAACAGCAAATACTTTAATTATCATATGATATTTACACTAATTACAAAACAAATTGGTTAAACATCATTGTGAAACAATGAATTAATATAACTTCTAACAGTGTTTAATAAGATTTCTACAACTGCAAATGAGTCAATGTTCTGCTGTTTGGGTTTTGTTTTATTCTGGATCACCAGGGTCAGCCTAGATTAAAAAATGAATTTAAAATAGAAAGGAATCATATTTATTTATTATTTTATTTAAAATATTTAGATGCTACCTTTCCATCCCATTTAGTGTCCCCAAGGTGGTGAACAATCAAAATATTAAAACAGCATTTAAAATACACACACACACACACAAACCCAACCCTTTAATAAAACATATAAACACAGTGACAGGAAGGAAGTTCAAAGACAGTTACTGAGGGAATGTCAAACCAAACAAAATCAAAAGTCTTTATATTAAAAGCAACTACTAAAAATCTGCTTGGATCTGTATGAAGTTATAGTATTGGCTAACAGGAGTTGCCGTAGAACGATCCATCCTGGGGGCAAGATGGCGCCGCGTCCGGTCGGGTCTCGGACTGGCTCCGAGCCGACCGGCTCCCCTTTGTCCCTTTTTGAGCCCACACTTCCTCAACCATTACATATAGGTAGAGAGAGAGTGGGTGGGGTTAGTTACCAGTAAGGACTAATTAGAGTCAAGATGCATAAGTATCTCAGTGATAAGTATAGCTAAAATTTAATTAAAGTAGTTGGTAAGATCTGTTTAGCATACAGATAATAAAAGAGTTAGCAAACAGATGTGAGAACTAAGTTTGAGTGCAGTGGCACCTTTAAGACCAACAAAATTTAATACTGGGTATAGCCAAGTATATTATATATTTTATAAGTATAGCCAAGCTGCGGTGGCTCAAGTGGTTAAGACGCTGAACTGCAGGCTGTGAAAGGTCGGTAGTTCAGCAGTTCGAGATCCGGGTGCCGCATGACGAAGTGAGCTCCCGTCTCTAGTTCCAGCTCCTGCCAACCTAGCAGTTCGAAAGCAAGAAATTGCAAGTAGATAAATAGGTACCACTTCAGTGGGAAGGTAACAGCGTTCTGTGCGCCTTGGTGTTTAGTCATGCCGGTCACATGACCACGGAAATGTCTTCGGACAGCGCTGGCTCTTCGGCTGTGAAATGGAGATGAGCACCGCAACCCTAGAGTCGGATTCGACTGGCTTTCGAGCAAGGGAACCTTTACCTTTATAACCAAGAACTGAGTGACTTGGCGTGTTTGGTGAGATAAGAACCCGATGAGGTTTCAGTGTCCTGAGTGTTGTAATAACTTGTAATTCAGCAATCTCCCATTCCAGTCTGTTTCTGAAATTATTTTGTGTTGGGATATGTACAAGTTGCTTACACTGTTCAGTCATTATGTTGTTGTTAGTAAACAGGATATTGCATAGCCTAACTTGTAACAATTTAGAAGTAGACATGAGTTAGCCCGGGAAATGTTTGTAGGAGGTATTAGTTAAATGAAGTGGTCTGTAACCTTCCCTATTTGTCAACCAACATGTTGCTTCAAGAAATGCTTTGATGTTCTATGTAGTTTTTTTACATGTTTTACAATCCTTTGTCTGAGAGAAAGAAGACGAAGCTATTACACTTTACCTTTCTAGCTGTAACATGTAGTTTGTTAGGTTCGATAGACATATTTCTTTGTTTTCTTCCAAAATGTAATTCCCTCCCTCATTATCTCTAGGTAGCGTTTTTCTCTTTTTATGTAAGCACACTGAACTGGCTCTTGCTTCATTTATTTACTTTACTGATTTACAAAACTCAACACTTTGCAATAAAAAAACTACTTTGAGGTCCTCCATTGAGTGCCCTGGAAGGTTGAAATGTTCTCCTACAAGTTTCTCAATTTTGTGATTCTTGATGTCAGATTTGTGTCCATTTATCCTGTTTGCCCTTTGTAGAGAATGGAAGGGCATTGTTGGCATTTAATGGCATATACAATGTTGGAAGATGAGCAAAGAAATGTGCCTGAGATGGTGTAGTTGATGTTGTTAGGTCCAGTGATTGTGTTGTCTGGGTATATGTGGCAGCAAATTTGGCATCTGGGTTTATTGCAAGCTCTGGTTCCAGCTCCCATGTTCAAATTAGATGTTGTATTTAAGATTGTGGGACTGATTGCCCCCTGGTACTTGTGAAAGAGAACTCATTATTCAGTAGAGGTAGTAAGTCACTGTTGATGTGCTGAGTTGAGAGCTGTATGTGACCACTAGTGGTGTTCTGTTATTGTCTCTTTGGGGCCTGTCTTGCAACAGGTTTTTTCTGGGTACTGTTCTGGCTTTCTCCACTTCATCAGGTGGATATTTTAGTTCCAAAGAGGGTTGTTGTAGATCCCCCAGGTGAAAATCTCTCTGTAGGATTCGAGTGGATGTGGCTGTAGCATAGAGCAAGGCTGTATACAATGGGTTGTCCAAATACAGAGTATGTAAGATAATCATCTTCTATGTAGACTTTACGCACATGAAAAAAGATGCACAGGAAAAAATGGACTGCAAAAGATGATATTGAAGTAAATCAAATCCATTCTGCAAAATGGGACCACTCAGAGGAGATGAATTGTTGCTTTGAGAGGTACTGCATGATTGGGTACCACTTTTATTCAGTAGAGGTAGTAAGTCACTGTTGATGTGCTGAGTTGAGAGCTGTATGTGACCACTAGTGGTGTTCTGTTATTGTCTCTTTGGGGCCTGTCTTGCAACAGGTTTTTTCTGGGTACTGTTCTGGCTTTCTTCACTTCATCAGGTGGATATTTTAGTTCCAAAGAGGGTTGTTGTAGATCCCCCAGGTGAAAATCTCTCTGTAGGATTCGAGTGGATGTGGCTGTAGCATAGAGCAAGGCTGTATACAATGGATTGTTTGGTATGGTTAGGATGGTAGCTGAAGGCATGTAGATATGTTTGTTGATTAGTAGGTTTCCATTATAGGGTGGTGTCTATGCATCCATTGTATATTTTTATAATAGTGTCCAGAAAATGTATTTCTTGCATAGATTGGTTCATTGCCAGGTTGATGGTAGGGTGAAAGTCATTGAATGCCTGGTGGAATATGTCCAGGGCTTCTTTGCCATGTGTCCAGACAATGTCATCAATGTATCACAGGTGTGAGTGGGTAGCAGTTTAGGAAGTTTTGCTCCAAGTTGGCCATAAAGATGTTAGCATACTGTGGGGCTATGTGGGTGCCCATGGCTGTACCATTGATCTGAAGGAACAAGCTGTCACCAAATTTGAAGTGGTTATGGGTGAGAACAAAATGGCACAGTTGCTGTGTTATGCTGCCTGGATTGCCCAGATGGCTACAGGGCTAATGGGAACAGCCATCACCCCATCCCCTGCAAGCAAATGACATTATGGTTTTTTAAAGGGTAAGATGCCACCTACATGGCAGCATTTTTGGCTTCATGGAACATGTGACAATATTTGATCAAGTTAAAATAATAGGTTGTTGAGAATGTTTGACTGATCAGTTGACTGATGTGCGAGTCCTAACTGTAGTGGGGAGAAATGTATGTCTCTGAAACATTTTGTAAGCCTAGGACTTTTCCCCACTCTGCCTGTTTTGATACTGTCATGGCTCAGGTGGGGTGTCACCTGACGCTGCCACTACTCTGGTTTCAGGCTCCCTTGAGAAGGCCCAGAGCACCCTCCCAAGACCTTCTGACCTCCCTTTTGGCCGAATAATAGGCGTGAGGACCAGGCAGAGTGAACAATGAAAATAGTTTATTGTATAGGAGGTCAAACAACAAGGTGCAGAATAGACGTCCAGTCGATGGCGGCACATTGAGCAGACTCACCTCCCGGACTGCTCGGGGGTGAAGCTGCGCTCTGGCCAGGGGAGGGGGCGCGCAGGCTCACAACCCCCCCCCCAGGGACCTGGTGAAGGGGCCCTGGCCAAGGAACTTTTTAAGAGGCGGCCTCTTTGAGGGCAGAATGCCCGAGAATTGAGGCGCCTCTTAGTTCCAGTGGTTCCCCGTGCTATGAGACCCAGATGGGACTAGTGGCACTAACCGGAGCAAGCGTGGGAGATCCGGCGTTTGAAATGAAGTTTGGAGCGGGGTTGGAAGACCAACAATGAATGTGAGTCAATGCTAAGGCGATTTAAAAAGTAAAAGGCAGCTCCCCACCCTACTTCATGGACGGAGAAAAAGCGAGCGGGGGGTAGGACGCCTCCCATGCGCATACCTTAAATGAGTGAGGGGGGGAGCGGAAGAAAAGCGGAGAAAACCGCCGAGAGACACTTAGCCATGAGAGTTTAAGCGATCGAGTGCACATTCAGAGACTTTAGCAAAGTTGGGAAAAGTAAACAACTGATTAAGATGGCGGGGAAGAAGGACAAAGAAAGACTTCTGAAAGCTAAGGGGCCGGGCATTCCTAAACCGGAAGTTACCAGTGAGGTGGCGAA